CATATTTCTAAGTTCAGTTTGTCAGTTTGTAATTTAAATATAAAAACAAACTGGGTTTTATTTGACATGTATTGAAAATATCTGATGAGAACACTGCCCTCAGCTCTGATTATTGAGGTTAAGTAACATTCTTTTTGGTTAGAACCTTATGGGTAACCATTTGAGAATCTGAGATATAAGAAAAATATCTAGAAAAGAATTACTATACTGAAAAGTATGTTTCTCTTCAGTCATTAAAGTTAAGCAATATTTCTCTATATCAAATGAGTGATATTTATGTTGGCCCACAGCATCAGAGGTAAATGTTAGTGGTATGGCAGTAGAGGCTGAACTTTCCTGCCAGTAATCTATCATGTTTTTATTTTTTTTGCCTTCTTAAAAAGAGCAGTCTGGTAAAATGGTGTTTGACATGAAAATATATTTGAAACAGGAGTTTTCACAGAATTAAACCATGCAGAAAAATATTGCAGTCATTGACATTCGTTAATACTTGTTGAATGTTTACAGAGAGCAAGTAATTTTGCTTCTTGCATCTGTTTTATTTTCCATGGAATATATATATATATATATATATATATATATATATATATATATATATATATATATAATGTGTTTTTGTGTGTATAGGCCAAGTTTGTAGACACTACAAAGTGCTAAATGTAGGTATATAAAAATATACAAAAATACAGAGCAAATATAAAAAGAAAAAGCAGTACTTACATTGTAATGTTTATGATCACGATCATGAGTCCTGGAACTCATCAGAGTCGTAGGGGCACCACATCTGCATCAGTAGAAGAGGCGTGTCTTCTGCAACACAGCCTGATGTTGTACAACCATCTCCTGGCTGTTTTGAATTTAGAGTTTTCCTTCTCCCAGACTGGTTGCCACCCAAAACTATAGAGCTCAGTCTGTCCTGCTATTTTACCCATAGCTGGAGGGAAGAGAAGAGGATTCATACCTTTCCCAAGGGTTTTAGCACATAAGTTAATGTAATGAATTTGACTGGAATTCAAAATTGGCTCTTTGGTTGCTTAGTCTGAGCTGCAATTCATTGCTCTACCCCTGCCTTTTACTGTTAACAGTAACTAAAAGTTTCATGGGGACATGGAATTGGTCAATGTTACCGTCACACAATCATCAGACTGAATAAATATATTTCAGATAATAACTGTGACATTCCTCTATTAATTGAACAATTTAGTTCATGCCACATTGACTGAAAAACCTACCAGTACAAAAGAATTCTTCTATTACCATATTAGTACAAAAACGCACAATCTTAAAATTTAAAAATTCAACCTCAGCGTTGTGGCCGCACGCTCCAAAATTTCTTACAATTAACAATAACACATTTCTAAAAACATATTTCGGATTACATCTATTCTTTCGTTGTTCTGTTATTACCGAGATGCAAAAAACAAATTTATGTCCATGCCTGATGATGTCTGTATGCACAGATGAAAGCTTGTAAAAAACTAAAAAAAGACCTTATGCAAATGGAATTTATAAACAGGGATCATAACATTCATCTACAGGTTCGGGGTTAATGTACTTTAGTAAATTTGTTTGCGAAGATGTATTCTCGCCATTTATATCATTAACTTCAATACCTGTTCTTTGTATGAATGATTCATGCAATATTTATATATATATATATATATATATGTTCCATGAAAACTATAAAAGATGGCAGGCATGTCATTCCCTCCTCATTAACATTAGAAGACTTGTTCAGTATTTATCCCAGATTTTCTTGAGAGCAGCTCAGTTTCAATGTCTTTTTTTATTTGTACATACTTAAGATATCAAATTAATTATCTGTTATGAAAAATTTAAAATATTTAACCTTATTATCAAAAACAACATCTCACTAGTGAAATCAAAACTATACCAGAGCAACATTATTCCAGACTTTAGATATGTCAGAAATTTAATTTCTGTATCTATCTTTCTATCTCTCTTACTTTCCTTCCTCCTCTCCTTTTCCCCCTGTGTGCAGTGTAAGAACTGCTGCTGCTGTGTCATGTGGCAAAATCATGTCTAACGATTGGTCGTACGTGATTTTCCCGCTTGTTTTCGACTAGATTAGAGGAATCTAGTCAGTAGTAGCAAAAAAAAAAAGGGGCACCGCAGTGTGGAGACAATAAGTCGTCTTGTCTTGTGACGAAAAGGAAACCTGCTTGAAGATAACCTGTTGTTGCTCTGACAAGGAAAAAAGACCAGTCAAGAATATTTGTCTAAGAGAATTGAAGATAAAGAACAAGTGTGTTCGCCGTGTGGAAAAAGCTTATTCTCTAGACAAGTGAAGTCAAGCCTGTTCAAGTAATCAAGTGGATTATTGTTCAGCAACCAAAGAACAAGTCAGTAAAGACTTATCAAAAAATCAGTTAAAGAAATTATTGTAAAGAGAATTTACAATAGAACATTCTCAAGGAAGTCTTCTTTCGACAATCGGGTCGAAGAGAGAAAAAAGTCCAAATTAAGCGATTGAAAAGCTACCTTCCTTCAAGGAGTTATTTTGTCCTATTGGTGGACAAAATTCTGACGTGAAAAAAAGTATGTGAAAAAAAGATCTTCTGAGTCGTCTCTAGAAGTTTGTGTCGCAGAGAAAGTTTGAAAAAACAAGTCTGCATTTATTTTTAACAGGAATCTTGCTTATCTTCCAAGGAGAGCAACTCAAAAAAATATCTAAAAACCTTTCTGCCCAGCTACTTAAAAAAAATACTAAAGCTATTTTGTTTTTTTTTTTGAACAGTAAGTCTAATTTTTTCCCCTCTTTCTGCTATCTCTACCTCTTTCACTCTCTCTGAACTGTTATTGGAGTCCTTTTTAAGGGCTCACCAAAGGGACGTTTTTGGCAGTTATTTTTAGGTTGTACCAGTGAACTTTAACATCAGACTATTTTTTTTTCCCCCTCATCTTATTTTTTTTCTTTTCCCTCAATAAATTTTATAGCTATTTCAAGTGGTTTTTCCTTCTTCTTTATCTTGCTTGTTATGGTTGTATATTGATGGTTTCAGGTCTCTGTTAACTGTGTTACGCGGGATTCCCATCATTGGACATAATGACAAAGTTTCCCAACCTTTTTTGCACTGAGTTTGGCTGTTACTAAGCTAAATTTCGACAGATACTGCACAGTTAGTTAACTCTGTTCTTCCAACAACTTAATTTCCTCAAATCAAGCATACATGATTTTACTCAATTGCTGATTATATCTTTTAGCAGAAGTGGCAAGAGGTGAGTCCTCACCCATGCATTAACAGTGTCTGCCTCCAGATGTCCATGAAAGGTGACCCTATATTATAAAAGCAGGCAAATACAAAAGACACTTCAACTAAATTTGTTCATGAATATTGGATGTGCAAGTAGAAATTGAAGAAACATTTTTTCAATCAAAAATTTTAGCTCAGTGTGGCATATAAACTAATAGCAAAGAAAAATAGAGATCTGCTCAGAGTGTGCTAAATTTAAAAACTAGTAGATGTTAGTGACTTACATACAAAAAAAACATCAACTTTCTGGCTGCATCATCAGATCTTGAATCTGTTACCACACATCCAAAATAACAAGGACAATGAAAAAGTCCATATCACAAATCCAAAAGGCAGGAATGATGAGTAGCATAGAAATCAGAAATCAAAAGTCCAAGAGGCAAAATAAGATAGGGTAAAATAATAATCCAGCCCCACAGATTCTTATACAGTCAACTCACTCATGCTCACAAATCAAAAAAATACACTAACCTCATCAAGAAAAGCAACAGCTTTTATTGAGGAGGTAAATTTTGCATTTGGTCATGATAGTTGAAGAGGATAATAAAAAAAAAAAAATGACTATATGTAGGATCCGCTGAAGGCAGTAATTGTCTATGATCTATTTTTTCCTTTTCTTCAACAGTCCATGCACAAAACACAAACCCTCTTTTTGATGTTGAGAATTTTCCCAATCACAACAAATCTTTAATATCTCTTCCTTGTATTCCAATACTTTTGTTTCCTTGATTTAGTTTGTCTTTCATTCTAGCCTGTGGATGTCTGCTTTAAGAGGTGAAATGTGTAGTTGAATAGCTTTCCTGCTTTGCCTTATTAGCTCCACTTCTCTAATCATTGGGATGTGTAGGTAATATAATGGATAGTGGCTCAGAATGAGAAATCTGAGAACCGAGTTCAAATTGCAATCAAGTCTGTTACATTCACTTACTTGGAAATACCATTGGGAAAGGCATGAACCCATCTCCTCCACCAGATATGGATTAAATAGTAGGACTGGAAAAATCATTGTTATTCTCAAAAAATTGTTAATGAAATATTCACTTGCAAGAAAAGAATTATTTTAAGAATCCAAAATATGTTTCAGCTTTAAATAATCCATAAAGGGTTGATAAGCCATAAAAAATAATCAATTTCCACCCCTTATATATGTTTTCTTTATTTCTGTTCATAACCAGTTATATATGTATGACTTTATTTTAATATTCAACAGGCACTTTTTATTTAAATATAAATATTTACACAGGCTTTGATGAATTTATTTTTTTCAAAAGTAAAAAAAACAAAACATTTTATCATCTATTTAGTAAATAGTGCATTTGGTTTATAAACTTTGCTGGAACTGACCATCTGGCATTTGATTCACTCTATAACTTCAGGACGTGAAGTTCATAACTCTCCACAAGTTCCAGTTCGTTTTAGCTTTCAGCAGTATTTCTCTTTTTACTGTCCCTCCCATTCTCTTGTTTGGGTAATGCTATTTGCTCTTTCCCTCTCTGCCTTTTGCCTTCAATATGTACTGTAAATGTCAAATTCTTCAAGTCTTCTTTCCTCATTATATGTTCAAGAAATTTCAGCTGTTTCTTTCTGAACTGAAGCGTCCTTTTTCTTTCTATTTTCTGTAATACTTCCTATTTGTTTACATGCACTGACCATGGTATTCTCAGCATCCTTCTGTATAAACAAATCTCTGTTGCCCCACATATCCTCTTCATCTGTGGGCTTACTGCCACATCATGTTGAAACATTGGTTCCCGTATGATCACCAAAGTTAAACGTCAAGCCTGGTCAGTGCCTAGATGGGTGACCATTTGGGAATAACAGGTGCTGTAAGCTTGAATGTGCCGCTGGTGTAATGGATAATGGCACTGAATTATGAATTGGGAAGCTGAGTTCCAGTTTCAATTGGGTTTGTCATATTCACATACACGCATATTTGGGAAAGGTATGAATCCACTTCTTCTCCCCCCAGCTTTAGGTTAATTATTAAGACTTGTATCACTAAAACATTATTATTTTTAAACAAAAAAATTCGTACAATGTAAAAATATTTCATTTAAATAACCAGCAAAGGGTTGATAAACTATAGAAAATGAATCCATCAATAAAAAAAAAAAAAATTCATCATCTGTGAAGAAATTGTCCAGCATTCACTGCGATATGGGAGGATTGATATTACATAGCAGTTCAGCAATATCATTTTTTTTTTTTTTGTTAATAATGGAATTTTTCCTGTTTCTTGATTCTCTGTTTTGCTTTTGGAAGGCATCTTTTGCTATTCTTATGCACTGTAATGTAATCAATCCTGACCTGGCATCTCAACTTCAGTCATTTTCTCACCAACATGACATGGCTTTTCTCTGTCTTTTCTACAAATATATTCATGGCAATTGTTCTGACAAGCTTTCCTCTTTGGTGCCTCTGTACATTCTTTTCTAATGGTTTCTTTTTTTTTACATTTCTCACTTGTGGAACATTCAATTTCTTGCTTCCACCTACAATCTTCAAAAATTTAAATGCAATGCTAATCACCATCTTTTTTTTTTTTTTTTTTGAAACCTGTTCTTTTATTGTCATTTCTCTTCACTTCTCATTCTCTTTCACTCCCAGTAACCCCCTTGTGTCTTAGTGGCATTATCACCTTGATTGGGGTGAAATGAATAAAAAAAAAGAAAGAAGGATAACTGTCAGATTTCAGGGTCATATTTTCTGGCATCTGTTAAAATACTTGCCAGACACTTGACTCAGTGCTTGTTAATATGATAAAGTATGTTGCTTTGATATTGAGAATGTGTACCTCTTCTGTAAAAGGTCTTGTCTTCTGAATCTGGCATTCATTTTCACTTGCACTTATTTGGTCCCCTTCCTATTATGGTGTCGGGGGGGGGGGGCATACCTGTCAGCCTGTTTAGTGAAACTGCCGGTCAGTTTTAACTGATTAAGTTTTCTATTTAAGAAACTTCGCCGTAGAATAAAGATAAGCTGATATCTCTGCTTGTCCCAGTTCTGCAATGTTATCGATGTTTTTGTTTGAACCTGTCAGATTGTTGAAGTTCTTAATCATTATCAATTGACTTTATTTAATTACAGGTTCAACTAATTTTGAAGTTTCTGTTTTGTTTCATTTCGGTTGTTTTTTGGGTTTTTTTTTTTTTCAATCTTGAATAGAATTTGGAAACGTACTCTTTTGGGAATTAATTTTTTTTTTTTTAATTGTATTTATTTTTTGGTATAATTTATTCCAAAAAAAAAAAAAACTAAAATTTTGTTTGTAGTTGTTTGTATAAATGTATATAAGAGTTTCTTTTTTTTTTCTTTCTATCAGGTTTTGGCATCTCATCCAGATTTTCCCAAAATTCGGAAAGAAATTTTAAACAAGGCCAGATCCAACTGGAGAACCTAAAATATTTTTTGGCAGACAACTTCTTTTAATTTTGAACATTCTGTCCATTGCTTGGTTTTCGTTGTAAAAATAAAATTTTTGCAAATTTTTTTCTGCATCAGTTTTTGTTGTTTATAGTTAAATATCATATTTAACAACATATATATAGGAAACTTAAAAAGTTGCTGAAAAAAAATCATCCAAAATTTTACATGTGAAGTCACTGCCTCCCATAGGCCTATCCACAATAAAATTGTAGCCTAATAATTTTACCTCCGCTAGTCACTTCAACTTATCTTAATTCCATAATAATATTGTTTACTAAAAAAAGCTTATTATTAGTACTGGTACTGTAAAAGCAAATATTCTAAAGTACCAGTACTGTTTCGTGTCCTGGGTAGATGATAAAATATGTCCAGCAGCAAGGCATCTACAAAGGAGGTTTTGAAGAGCGTGGAACCACCTCTTAGTTGCTGATGTTATCGGGGTGGTAGCACCTGTTAGGGTCCCAGCTATGGGCAAATAGTTAACCCCGAAATTGGGTCAAAACACTATGATATACTTTGTAAATGATTATCAGCAATAAATTTTTGAAGAAAAAAAACTATTGCCAGCAAACATTTTTGAAAAAAAAATATATTATCAACAATATGTTTTTGAAAAAAAAAATATTACCAGCAATACAGTTCTGAAGGAAAAAATTATTACCAGAAATAGATCTTTTGATAAAACAAAATATTACCAGTAATAAAAAATTTTGTTGGCATTAAATAACCCATTAAGGCTGATATGCCATAAAACAAAACAAACCAAACCAGTGCATCTGGTGGAAGTCCAAGCCTGAAACTCCAAACCAGTACTGTTTCATTAGTACTGATTGATTCATTTTATCTAAATTTGTCTTAACACACTCCTATAATTAACCTTTAACATGCTAAATCCTTTCTAGAGTTGTTCCCCCTGACACTTCATTTTTTTGAAGGTGCAAAAACATGAACACCTACTGTTTAAAAATTGTTTTAACTTTCTTTGTATTGTTGTATAGATTTTAATTTTCATATACTAATAAAAGAATGGACGAGTAATATTTTGATGCAATGCATTGTGTTTTGCATGCCTGTTTTGACATTGAAAACAAAAAAAAAAATTGAAACACAAAATAAAAAAACAAATATATTAACAATTTAACATATTTTAACTTTTCTTACTTCGTATGAAGTTTTGGGGTGCAATAAAAAACAAAATGGCTAAGAAGGCTTTCATTTCATTAAAAAAGTGATGTGCTTTCTTATGTTTATATACAAGAAGACACCAGCAATTGTTTGGTCTTTATTTCACCTGACTAGCATATTTATTTATCTTGTTGACAAATAAAGTTATTGTCGTTTATAAATAAATAAAATAATTTACCTTCAGAAAGTCTGTCAGGCACATCTATGGGGCCAGTAGCTTCCATAAAATTAGTCAGCCATGGATGATAGAAGCTGCCCAGCACCTTGTGGTCAACATCATTTTCCTCCATGCAGTGATACATGGTTATAATGTTTGACCAATTCACCATCAATACCCACTTGAGTAAAGCCTTCAAAATCATCAGTGGAGTTCAAATCAAAGAAAAACTCCTGAATAAAGGCTTTGTTGGATGTTGATGCAGCCATTCTTGTTTAAAAAAAAAATAAATGTGGGTTTAATCAATGTTACATTTTGTCTAGAGTATAGAAGAATTAGAAATGGTGTTGGAAAATGAAAGTTTAGCCTTGTTCCAAAGCTGCAGTAGTTGATTTCCAGCTTAAAATACCAGAAATAACACGTGAAAAGTGTTTATTTATAGTAAACATCTCAGTGCAACAAAATGCGCCTACAACTGCGAAGGGAGAGAATTCTTCAGTCACAAATTTCACTTCTATTGTGGTAAAGGTTAAAGAGTTAAAAATTACAGAATAAAGAAATGTACCAATAGAAAATATTGGTAATTCTAAAACACTAATCTGAGAAGAATAAGTCTACAAAAAGATATGTCCATCGTACAAAGTATAAGAAGAATGTCTGGTGAAGGTGTGGGTGATTTAAAATTGTGATTTCATGCTTTATGTTAACATATGCTTCCAGCTTACTTTTTATATACAGTAATAGTACTTTTGTAATAATAGCTTGCATTCAACACTATATGCTTAAATATACCAAAAACTGAAATGGGAGCATGTCTGCTATGCCTATGCACTTTTAATACTGTCAAATGTAATCATTTCCTCAAATCTTTCTGTCATGATGGCTAAGAATCTGTTCAGTGATGATGGTGGTTAGAGTGAATCAGCCCACTATTCTGTCATCTGATTTTATTGGCTGAGCATTATCCAATCAAATTTTCTTGGCTCTTCTTTTAGATAAAATCCTGATTCTTTTATTGTATCATGTATTTGTTTTGGCAATACTATGAAAGAGAATTAAATAAAGTTTTATGAGGGATGGCCCAAAGGGCAAGCTACAACCTGGAAATGTCAAAATGAAGCTAGTACAAAAATTTGACTATCTGGTAGAATTTTTTTTAAAAGATGACAGAATATGTGATAATCTGTAGGTGTATTGGAATAGCAAATGATTCCTTTCAAAAGCTAAACATAGAAATAGAAAACCTTTGTCAGAAAAAAGTGTAAAGCACTGGATTACTATGTAATATCAATTCTATAATATGGCTGTGAATGCTGGGCACTTTTCTCACAGACCAAGAGGAAACTTGAACCAACAGAGATGTGGTCAGAGAGAAGGATGCTCAGAATACTATGGATAAAATATGGGAGTGACAAGGATGTTTTAAGGAAAATAGAAACAAAAAAGACACTTATAGTTAGAATCTTAAAGAGACAGATGAATTATTTGGAATAATGAGAAAAGAGGATTTGGAGAATTTGGTCCTGACACAGGATATATTGAACACAAGGAGAAAAAGGGAAACAGTAAGTTACACAATGAGAAAAGGAGGCTTGGAGAATTTGACACTTACAGTACATAAGAGGGCAGAAGTGACAGAGAAAATCAATGAGTAACCTACCCAATGAGAAAAGGGGGGTTGGAGAATTTGACACTTATAGTACATAAGAGGACAAAAGGTGCAGAGGAAATCAATGAGTAATCTACCCAATGAAAAAGGAGGCTAGGAGAATTTGACACAGTATGTAAAAGGGATAGAGGAAATGAATGAGTAACCTACCCCAATGAGAAAAGGAGGCTTGGAGAATTTGACACTTACAGCACATAAAAGGGCAGAAGAAATCAATGAGTAACCTACCCAATGAGAAAAGGGAGTTTGGAGAATTTAACACTTACAGTACATAAAAGGGCAAAGGAAATTGATGAGTAACCTACCCAATGAGAACACGGGTTTAGGAGAATTTGACACTGTACATAAAAGAGTAAATGCGATGCAGTATGTGGTTTACCCAAACGAGCTTGAG